CGGGAATTAATCTACATGCACGTGCGGGCCCCATTCCCAAAATGGGCGGTCTTGCCCGCGTTGTCCCCACGTAAGAGCCCGCCAATGTTTTTTACGAGTAAGTTGCTAACTCGCGAACCAGAAAAGCTAGAAGGCTGGAATTTTAAGGGAATGTTCCCCGTCCACGTAAGTCTAAATGAGCTCAAAGCCAGCCCACGGGTAATCGTGATACCCGCGTACGGGCCCGCCAAAATTTTTTTCGGGCAATTTCATAACTCGGGGATCTGAGGACCTAGAAAGCTGAGATCTTAAGGGAATGTTCCCCGTCCAAATAGGTGTTAATGAACTCAAATCCATCCCCCGGCTAAGTGTGATACCCGCGTACGGGCCCGCCAAAATTTTTTTGGCTAAGTTGATAACTCGGGAATTTAAAGAGCTAAAGGACTGTAATTTTAAGAGGATATTCCCCGTTCACCTAAGTCTCACTGAGCTCAACCCAGACTTCGGGTACGCGTGGTAACCACATAAGGGCCCCCAAATTTTTTTCGAGTAAGTTGTTAGCTCAGGAGTCTAGAAAGCTAGAAAACGGAAATTTTAAAAGGCAGTTTCCTAGCAATTCTGGCGGCCAATCTTAATTTGTTTAGCATTTGCCGAAAAAACCGGTGCCGGTAGCGAAAAAAACTGCGAGGAACTATGCAAAAAACGCATCTTCGCACGGGCAGCCCGTGCGTTGGCCAATTATTATACATTTTTATGCTGTTCCTACGGTGAACAAAAGCGCATATTGGCAAAAGGCTTTCTGTATGTGTACATGTGTACGTCTGTGTGTTTGCAATTTTTGCCACCCCGTTTCAAACCGAGAACCAGAACAGCTAGAAAGCTGGAACTTCGGGAATATTTGCCCACCTCCTGCGCGGCCCTTTAATATTGCCATTTACATATGCTTTGGTCCCACGCACAGATGCTTTAAAAAATGTGCAGATCATTTGGCAGGAAAACGATCTCGAGAACTAGACAAGATGGAAAGCTAAAATTCTGAGAGGATCTTTTCTGTCTAAGACAACTTATTTCAAATTTGGCCCCCAGGTATGCTTGATTCTCAAGTACGCGCACGTAAAAATTTCGGCGACAAATTTTCTCACTAAATATGTTATTTTTAAGCCCATAGTGCAGCACACCAGGCTTACTGGTGCAATCATGCGTTTACGCGCCAAGCTCGCAGATTGCTAACAGCAGGAATTCTTCCTGCGCTGTACCTTAAACTTGGACTCATACTGACTGTGTTTTGGTCTCTTCCCGCATGCAGGAGAAAAGCGCGCCAGACGGGGTAAAGGTGTTGCATTATGAGCCGCGCATGGACCTCCAGCGTATATGATTATCAGTTTTTATGTGTTTTTGCTTATATGCAAATTGCAAAAACGCATAATGCGACGACCTTGCCTGTGTATGTTTATGTGTGTGTGTGTGTGTGTGTGTGTGTGTGTGTGTGTGTGTGTGTGCGTGCGTGCGTGCGTTCGTCTGTCCGGGTATTTCAACTCGGCAGCCAAGCAAGTTCCGGCGCCAAAATTTTTCTAGTGGGTTCTCCGGCCAAGTGCCACCCCGGAACCGCGGTACCAACCCTCACGCAATTCTGGGCCCCGCGTACAAGGGGGTGAGGTTTTGGCGGGAAAATTGATAACTCGAGAACGAGAAAAGATAGAAAGCTAAGATTCTGAGGTTATGTTCTCCGTCCAAATATAACTCAGAGATTTCAAATTCAGCCCCCAGTTTTGTGTGGTTTCCGCGTACAGCCCGTGAAAATGGCTAACTCGAGAAGCAAAGCTGGGGGCTGAATTTTCATGGGATGTTCTCACCTCATGTGCGACTTAAAGTTATCAAATTCAGCCCTAGGTATGCGCGGTTCTCACGTACGGCCCTGTGGAACTTTTTTGGCGGGAAATTGACTAACTCGGGAACCAGATAAGCTGGAAAGCTGAGATTTTAGGAGAATATTCCCCCTTTCAAATACAACTTAAAGGTTTAAAATTCAGCCTCTAAGTACGCGTGGTTCTCGTGTACGGGCACTTAAATTCTTGGCGGGAAAATAGGGTGTGAATATGATCTCAAAATTTCAGCCTCCCTGTTTCCCCGGCTGTTGAGCTGAAAGTAGGTGGCAAAGTTTACTCGCTTTCGAACATACAAACACACACGGGCGATCTCTCGACAATATGCGTTTTTTCTCGCTGTAGCAGTGCTACAGCGCAGTGCTACAGCGCTAGCAAAAACGCATAAAAAGGAGGTGGTACATAGCCGTTAAACGGAAATTGTTCGTTTTCCTTTATGCAAAATATACGATTATTTACGCTGATGAGTACACGAGGTAAATATAAATCAACAACTAT